GACTGACAAAAATGCAAGAGCTTCACGGATTGAGGGCGAATGGTTTTTCAAAATGTCGTTCTCGCCTTAGCGCCGCGCACACTCATTCTTTACAATTGCAAGAGCTTCACGAATTGAGGGCGAGTGGTTTTCAAAATGTGGATCTCGCTTTAGCGCCGCGCACTTTCGTTGCACAAAATTGCAAGAGCTTCACAGATTGAGGGCGCTTCATTTTCAAAATGTGGCTCTCGCTTTAGCGCCGCGCACATCCTTTTTCCCAACCATCCTGTGGTGTTGGGTCCTCGTTTTGAAGAGACAGCGCCCCGCGTCTCCTCTCCTTCTTTCCTTCCTTCCTCCTCCTCCGCCTCCTCCCCCCTCCCTCCTCCCACTATCACGGCACACCCCTCACACGCTTCGTGGCCCCATAGGGAGCTCCACCGAAGGCCCCAGTGGCTGCGTTGGCATGGCGGCGCCGCACCCATTTCGGCACACCCCTCACACGTTTCGTGGCCACCTAGGGAGCTCCACCGAAGGCCCCAGTGACTGCGTTGGCATGGCGGCGCCGCACCCATTTCGGCACACCCCTCACACGCTTCGTGGCCCCATAGGGAGCTCCACCGAAGGCCCCAGTGGCTGCGTTGGCATGGCGGCGCCGCACCCAATTTGGCACCCCTCCTCACACGTTTCGTGGCCCCACAGGGAGCTCCACCGAGAGCCCCAGTGGCTGCGTTGGCATGGCGGCGCCGCACCCAGTTTGGCACACCCCTCACACGTTTCGTGGTCCCATAGGGAGCTCCACCGAAGGCCCCTGCGGCTGCGTTGGCATGGCGGCGCCGCACCCATTTCGGCACAGCCCTCACACGTTTCGTGGCCCCATAGGGAGCTCCGCCGACGGCCCCAGTGGCTGCGTTGGCATGGCGGCGCCGCACCCATGTCGGCACACCCCTCACACGCTTCGTGGCCCCATAGGGAGCTCCACCGAAGGCCCCAGTGGCTGCGTTGGCATGGCGGCGCCGCACCCATTTCGGCACACCCCTCACACGTTTCGTGGCCCCATAGGGAGCTCCACCGAAGGCCCCAGTGGCTGCGTTGGCATGGCGGCGCCGCACCCATTTCGGCACACCCCTCACACGTTTCGTGGCCCCATAGGGAGCTCCACCGAAGGCCCCAGTGGCTGCGTTCGCATGGCGGCGCCGCACCCATTTGGCACACCCCTCACACGTTTCGTGGCCCCATAGGGAGCTCCACCGAAGGCCCCAGTGGCTGCGTTGGCATGGCGGCGCCGCACCCATTTCGGCACACCCCTCACACGTTTCGTGGCCCCATAGGGAGCTCCACCGAAGGCCCCAGTGGCTGCGTTGCATGCGGCCCGCACCCCATTTCGGCACACCCCTCACACGTTTCGTGGCCCCATAGGGAGCTCCACCGAAGGCCCCAGTGGCTGCGTCCGCATGCGGCGCCGCACCCCATTTCGGCACACCCCTCACACGTTTCGTGGCCCCATAGGGAGCTCCACCGAAGGCCCCAGTGGCTGCGTTGGCATGGCGGCGCCGCACCCCATTTCGGCACACCCCTCACACGTTTCGTGGCCCCATAGGGAGCTCCACCGAAGGCCCCAGTGGCTGCGTTCGCATGGCGGCGCCGCACCCATTTCGGCACACCCCTCACACGTTTCGTGGCCCCATAGGGAGCTCCACCGAAGGCCCCAGTGGCTGCGTTGGCATGGCGGCGCCGCACCCATTTCGGCACACCCCTCACACGTTTCGTGGCCCCATGCTGCGTTCGCATGTTTCGGCACACCCCTCTCATAGGGAGCTCCACCGAAGGCTGGCTGCGTTGGCATGTTTCGGCACACCCCTCACACGTTTCGTGGCCCCATAGGGAGCTCCACCGAAGGCCCCAGTGGCTGCGTTGGCATGGCGGCGCCGCACCCATTTCGGCACACCCCTCACACGTTTCGTGGCCCCATAGGGAGCTCCACCGAAGGCCCCAGCACGGCACACCCCTCACACGTTTCGTGGCCCCATAGGGAGCTCCACCGAAGGCCCCAGTGGCTACGTTCGCATGGCGGCGCGCACCCCCCATTTTTCGGCACACCCCTCACACGTTTCGTGGCCCCATAGGGAGCTCCACCGAAGGCCCCAGTGCTACCGCCCTCATGCGTCCCGTACGCCCAGGACAGCGTTTCGTGGCACGCCTTTCGTGGCCCCATAAGGAGCCCCACCGAAAGCGGCACCCACAAAGCGTTATTCACAATTGCATATGGTTGGGTCCTTCGCCAGGATAATTTTACAGGTGCAAGAGTTTCACGGATTCCCATGATCAGCGTACCAGAAATGGCATTTTGGAAGGAGTCAGGATCATGAGGGTGCAACAGCTACATTGAGCCGCGGTGTTGAAGTCCCAGGAATGGCGTTCTGTCACCATTCAGAATCGTCAAGTCGCAACAGTCAGGTTGATCCTTGGCGTTGAATCCCGAGAGCAATGTTTTGGTGTGCATCAGAGTCTTCAAACGGTTGCCTTCCGACGAGGCCGTTCCCTCAATGGAAAGAACCCTTGTCAGGTGCCTTTGAAAAGGGAGCTTGGAGGGAGAGCCTACTCCAACCTCGTTGATGGCTCTTGGGTTTACACTGGTCATCCTCCTCCATATCCTCCTCCTCCTCCTCCTCCTCCTACTCCTCCTCCTCCGCCTCCTCCTCCTCTTGGGCGACCAGTGGGCGATTTGGAGCCGATGCATCCCCCCCTATGCCTACCCCCCCTTATCGTTGCCCCCGACACGGGGGCTCCGCCCCCCCGAGAGGGGCCAGGGCCCCTGGAGGCTCGCAGGAGGGCGCTTCCCGGGCTGCTGGGGGTGACGCTCCCCCCGACCGTCCCCTCCCCGCGCAGGGCCCCGTGGGCCCCAGCGGCGCGCGGGGGCACCAGCTCGTCCCTGCCGAAGCCAGGTGCAGCCAACGCGTGTCAGAAGGAGGCGCGGCCAGGATGCGAAGGCCTCGGAGGGCCACGACCACGCTGTCCGTGCGGGGCTGGGGAGCAGGAGTCCCCGAGGATGGGCCGACGGGGCAAGGATTATGTCGGGCCTGTCCCCCTACAGGGGGATTTTCGACGAAAAATAAAACATACCCCAAAAATAATAAAAAATACTCCAAAAATGATCTGGGGACTATTTTTTGAATATTTTTTGACCTTTTGGGGGTATTTTGGGGGTATCTTTTTTCCCGTCGAAAATTCCCCCGTAGGGGGACACGCCCGACATAAGGCAAGGATGCAAGGGTACCCTTGAGCAGGTTGCCCACCCTTCCTCTGCGGGTCGACTCTGCTCTGGAGCTCCAGGGACGCAGCCCAGGCCTGCCCTGGCGCGACAAGGAGCTCCGGCCCCCTGCTCGCGCTCGCGGCGGCGCCTCGCGACGCGGCCGCGAACGCGCCGCGCCGTGGAGCCCTCCCCATCGACGGGGGGAGGACGGGGCGAGCACAGACCTGCGGAGTCCCGCGCGACAGACGCGACGGGCACACTCTGCCGGCGTCGCGGCGCCCGGGGCCCCGCCGTCGGGTCCTCGGTCCCGCCTCGGGCCGGGGGCGTCCAAAGGGGGGGGGGCGTCCGAGAGGGGAGGGTGTGCAAGTTATAGCATGGCCCGAGGCGTGCGCGCGGACCAGGGGGGGGGATGCATCCGGTAAAGGGCACGACGTGTCTTCGGTCACCCGAGACAGGGAAGGGTCCCCTTCTCGGGGGAGCGGGAGGGCGAGCCCCGTCCTCGCCTTGTCCTGCGACGACGCGTACTCTTGGCTGCGTCGTCGGCAGTTCGCTCGGCCTTTGCTCGTTTGTTTCCTTCTCTTATCTTGAATCGTCGAGTTGTGCACACTCGCTCGTTTTCCACTCGTCTCAGCGTTCCTCATGTGTTGGGCGGCGTATCCTTCTCTTCCTCCCCCCCTCACCTCCTCGTGCTCCTCCCCGATCAGCTTTCGATATACAGAACTTCTCCCTACCGCGCCCCAAGAACGTCGCGGTGAGGCCATGGGAGCGTTTCGGCTGAGACTTCCTCAACATGCATGATTATGAATTTTGAGACCTGCTGCACTTACACGAATCTAGAACAGCGCCTGAGCGCCCAGCACACTCATCCAAAAAGCTTGCAACATGTACACTGTTGCATAGCAGCACGTTTTCAACATGAGTTTTTCGCCTGACTTCCAATAAACAATACCACGACTTTCCTTTCAGCAGCAGCTACGAGGATGGAGAACGGATCCTTTTGAAGTGGGGTTTTCGCATGAGACTCCCTCAAATTCAGCGGCCAGAGGCCTGAACACAAGTGACCTCTGCCTGGATGGGGGGGGGGGGGGGGCATTTTCGAAATGGGGCTCTCGCGTGGCACTCCCACAGATCTGAGTGTGTCAACCTATGCAACGGTTGCACGGATGGGGGGCGGCCGCTTTGAATAACAGGGCCTCGCTGGACACCCTGCTCAACTTTACGATCCTATGTTGCCGCATTCATTACCGCTCGCTGGCTACCCAGACCCCCGACGTAGTGATTTTTGTTACAACGTCGAACCCAGGAGGTCTGGACCCCTTCTCTGGGACCAGTGTTCCATCCTGAATATCTTTGTTGACAGTCCCGAGGCAGGGGAAGGGCCCGCAGAAGCAGAAAATAGCGAAAAACCTCCCATCGTGATTTTGTCACAACGCGAGGTCTGAGTAGCTAGAAGACTGCAAGTCCGTTCCATTGAAAACCGGGGCTGTGTAGGCCCATATCTATGTCTATATATATATGTATAGAGAGAGAGAGGCGCTCACCTTTCAAGGGGCTAGCCTCTTGCAAAGGAAAGAAAGCGTGGAGGGACCTGTGCAAGAAACTCGGGACGGGAGGCATATAGCACCATCGCTGATACACATTGGGCTTACTCGGATGCTTTGTCTTCTCCTCGTCATCCTCCCCCTCCCCTTCCCCCTCCCCCTCCCCCTCCCAATCCCACCTCCCCCACCAGCCTCCCACCTACCCCTCCCCCTCCCACTCGTCCGCCTTCTCCGTAGCCTGCCCCACGTCCTTTCCCTGCAACGCGAGCGCGACCGCCCTCACTGCATCTTCTTCGCGCCAACGATCTTTTCCTGGCCAATGGCCGAGAGCACGGCGACGACGATGGAATCGCCGTCCTCCTGCATCTTCAGGATGTCTTCGACCACCTTCAGAGAGCAAAGAAAACCAGTACTCCAAGCTGGTCGGGAAGCGTGGGGAGCAGATCGCGCAACGGGATGGGTTCGGTGCGAGCGGGCGGCCAGAGCGGACCGTCTGACAGGGTGGTGTGGTCAGAGGCCCGCGGATCCACCCAGAATGAACGTAAACGTTCGGACGTCCGCAGACGGTGCGCAGGAGCCTCCTCCTCCCCTCCTCCTCCCCCTCCTCCTCCCTCCCTCCCCCTCCTCCTCCTGCTCCTCCTCCTCCTCCTCCTCCTCCTCCTCCTCCTCCTCCTCCAGCCCTCCTCCTCCTCCTCCTCCTCCTCGCCGCCCCCGAACGCACTTCGAAGGGTGCGGGGAGGGGGACCGGCGGAGTGGCCGTCAGCGGACGGCCGAGTATTTACGGGTGCATTCTTTTGGTTATCTGGCCTTCTTGTCTTCATCGGTTGGCTCACCCGTCGTCACGAACGTGGGCAGGTTCAGGTCGTCCTTCGTCTCACCAGACTCGAGGAGCAGGCTGACTTCGCCAGTAGACTCGTCAGCAGAAAGAAGCTGGTACTCCGTGCGCTTCGTGAAAGGGATCTCCATGTTGTGCGACGTGGGGCACAAGTCCTCATACTTCTTTCCCGTGAAGATGTCCAGCGCCACGATGTGGGCCTTCGCGTGCCCGTGCTTGCCCGTCTTCGACGTGGAGATCTCGGCCACCTTGCAGGCTTTGCCCTTGATCATCACCATCGAGCCCTTGCGAAGCTCTCCACACTGCTGCGGGTATGTGTGCGAGGATCCCGACTCGGTGGTCTCGAACGTGGGCTCGTCGTCGCTCATGGCTCGCGTGCGCTCAAGGTTCAGGCTTCCTTTTAGGCAGCGGCACGCTGGCAACCAGACAGCTGGAGCCAAAAACAATACCAACGTGCCTGCGGGTACGTGTGTACACGCGCACACGTGCCTGTGCACATGCGTGTGCGTTTGCGCGTGCGCCTGCGCGACCGCGTTCACGTACGTGTGGGCGTGCGCGCGGACGCGTGCGTGCGTGCGCGTGTCCCCAAGTGCGAATTGGCGCGCGAGTGCACATCAGCGCCCGTGCGCGCGCCGCCAGCACGGCAGCGAGGATGGACTCGACCACCGCTAGAGAAAGATCGGGAATCGATAATCAAGGATCGAGGTCGTCTTCTCCATGTTGGGCCCTCATGAAGATCTCGTCGCGACTCCTGGATTCCATTCAAAATCCTGGACAGAACGCACCCCTAGAGAAGCTCAAGGGGCGGCTGTTCAGGTGAGGGAGAGTAGGAGGAGCCCCAGATTCTAAACAGGTGGCAACATCGACTGCCCCACGAGAACTACATGAAATAATACCGAAAGAAACAGCACGGGAGGAGGCGCCAGACGGACGACGAGAAAAACGATGAAGAGGGTGGTTGAGATGGGAGAGGGGGACCAGCAGAAGACAGGCAAGGACGAAAACGAGGAGACGGAGGACACAGAGGATGGCATGGACGACGGATAGGAAAGGATGCGACCGATGACGACCAATGGTGTTTATCCGTGCCGTAGTCACTGAGTGGAGTGCACAAAGGTCCCGTCAAGTCCTCTGCATTCACTACTCAAATTACACTCCAGGTCTGGACCCAACATCGCCAAAAATCCTGGGGGGTATCGCGTGTCTCCCAGGGCGTCCCGCATGACTTGTCCTGAGGTCAGAGAGCGCCCGCCAAGATGGACAGGTCCCCAGGACGGTCCACGAGGGCCCCGAGACGGCCCTAGAGAGCCTCGAGACGGCCCAAGACGGTCACATGATGGCGCAAGAGGCCCCCTAAACGCCCCAAGAGGAGACCCCCAAGAGGGCCCCACGAGGCCAACAGCACTTGATGTTCTCAGAGTGCTTGAGAGATGCTAGGTAGCGTTCCCGCCCTTGCGGACTTCCGACACTCCAAGACGGCCCGAGATGCGACAAGATTGGCCAGGAGGGCCCCCATCTACGGCTCACGAGGCACCCAAAAGCACCCCAGGAGAGACCCATGCCCCCAAGAGCCCCCCAGAAGCGCCCACGAGGCTCAAGACCAGAGAGGCCCCGAAGAGGCCCGCAGGAGCGACCCCAGGAGCCCCCCTCAGAAGGCCTTCAAAAGAGGCTCGCGAGACCACAAGAGGCATCCCAAAGAGACCCCCAACAGCCACTCACGAGGCCGTTGGCCAACAGCCCAGGCACGGTGGCGGAATGAGCTGAGGGACGCTGGATCCGCCGCCCGCTGTCGCTTTCAAGAAGGCCGGGCTGCTGGCGTCGTGCCAGATTCGTACCGTCTTGCTGGCCCCTCCAGAGAAAGCTCCCGGTGGGATCTCGGCGGGTCCCGCCTGCCACCCGGAAGAGCTAGAAGAGTGCTCAGGCAAGGGCGTTCCCCCCCGCAAGGTGGCTCCGAGATGGCTCCAAGATGGTCCCAAAGACGGCCCAAGAGTGTCCAAGATGCCCACAGTTCGCCCCAGGATGCCTAAAAAAGACGGCCCAAGAGTGCAGCAGCAGGAGCAACATTAGCAGCAACAACAACAGCAACAACAACAACAACAACAACAACAACAACAAGAACAACAACAACAACAACAACAACAACAACAACAACAACAACAACAACAACAACAACAACAACAACAACAACAACAACAACTACAACTACAACAACAACAACAACAACAACAACAACAACAACAACAACAACTGCAACAACAGCAACAACAACAACAACAACAACCACAACAACAACAACAACCACAACAACAGCAATAACAACAACAGCAATAACAACAACAACAATCACAACAACAACAACAACAACAACAACAACGACGACGACGACGACGACGACAACAACAACAACAACAAAAACAACAACAAAAACAAAACAAAAACAACAACAACCACAACAACAACAACAATAATAACAACAGCAGCAGCAACAACAACACCAACGACGACGACGACGACAACAACAACAACAAAAACAAAAACAAAAACAAAACACAAATGATTAAAAAAAGGAAAAAACCTAAACGATAAAATGCGGAGGGGAAAACACCCCAACAAAAAAAAAACGACGACGACGACGACGACGACGACGACGACGACAACAACAACGACAACAATCATTTTAAGACTGTTCGCCCTCATATGCTCGAGTGTCCAATAACGCGTATTTCCCAAGCCCTCGATACCCGCCCTCGTCGTCTTCGATCGAACCCCTTTTGGGGGGTATACCCTTCTTCCTTGCAGGCCGGGCCCGGGCAAGCGGCGGGGCGGCCGCGGACGGTCGGCGTGGCCAGCGGCAGCGCTGATCGGCGGGGCGGCCGCGGACCGTCGACCCGACCCCCAGAGGGACGAACAGGGGACCGACCACGACGAGGACGACGACGACGACGACGTCGACGACGACGGCGACGACGACGACGACGACGGCGGCGACGACGACGAACGAAAGCGAAAGCGAGAGAGAACGACAGCAGGGCCACAAAGGACACGAACTAGGCCACGAAGGGCGACAGCGGGGACACGAAGAGAATGCGTATGGGGCCACGAAGAGCGCGAACGAGCGGGGGCCACGAAAGGCAGATAATGCGGGCCCACAGGAAGCAACGATGGGGCCACTGAAGGTAGCAACTGGGCCACGTAGGACAGTGAAGGGGCCACACACGGCGACAACGGGGCCACGAAGGGCATGCACATGGGGCCAAAGCTGGCGCCCACGAAGGGCAGCGAGGGGGCCACGAAGGGCGACAGCGGGGCCACGAAGGGCATGCATATGGGGCAACCACGGGCGCGAACGAGCGGGGGCCACGAAGGGCATATATATAATATATGTATAAATATATATACATATATATATATATATATATATATATATATATATATATATATATATATATATATATATATATATATATATATATATATGGGGCCACGAAGGGCAGCCACGGGTCCACAAGGGCTGCAACGGGGCCACGAAGGGCAGCGAGGGGGCCACGAAGGGCAGCAACGGGGCCACGAGAGGCTGTAACGGGGCCACGAAACAAAGCGAGGGGGCCACGAAGGGCTGCAACGGGGCCACGAAACAAAGCGAGGGAGCCACGAGGGCTGCAACGGGGCCACGAAGGGCAGCGAGGAGGCCACGAGGGGCTACAACGGGGCCACGAAGGGCAGCAACGGGGCCACGAAGGGCAGCAACGGGGCCACGAAACAAAGCGAGGGGGCCACGAAGGGCTGCAACGGGGCCACGAAGGGCAGCGAGATCCCGATTCGTAGGTTATCTGTGAGGGAATCCGAAGCGTGAGCGCGACTCCTGGGTGCCTGGGTGTCGGAAGCGCGGCGCTTGAGTAAGTTGCAAGAAGTCCAACGCAAGGGCGCTATTCGATAGTAAATTGCAAGCAAATCCCCAGCGAGAGCGCGACTCCAGAGCGCCGGGAAAGCGATTCCTGAATAAATTGCACGGAAGTCCCAAGCGAGAGCGCGATTCCTGATAAAATGCGAGGAAGTCTCGGGCGGGAGCGGGGGTCATGGCCAAATTGTGAGGAAGTCTCCGGCGGGAACCGCTGTTGCTGTAAACCGTGGGCCAACGACACAGTTTGACCCTCAAGACTTTCCCTGATAAAAAACAGGTGCGAGCCCCGGGAAGGACACCTCAATCGAAAAGAACAATGTGCACCGGACGGGGGGGATAAACAATAATTATATTCTTCAAAAATGAGTTCAACAACAACGACGACAACAATCATTCTAAGACTGTTCGCTCTTACTTGCCCGTGTGTCATGCAAAACGAGTTCCCCACACCCTCGATAACCGCCCTTTTTGTCTTAGATCACACCCCCTTTAGGGGGATTATTTCTCTTTGCGGGGGTCGGCGGGCTTAGACATGCGGGCAAACCTGAACGGGCGGACAATCCTTCGTGGGCGTACATGTGCCCGCCATTGGAAGTGGTGTGGGCCCTGCAAAAAGAGGAGGGGGAGAACGATGCAGAGCGGGAGGAAGGGAGGGGGAGGGACGAAGGAAGAGGGAAAACGCCAGGAAAGAAGGAGCGAAGAGGGGGCGGCTGATTAGAGGCAGAGAGAGAAAAAGAAAGACAGAGAAGAGAGGTAGAGAGAGAGAGGGGAGAGAGAGAGAGAGAGAGGACAAACAAAAAAAACAACTAAAAGAGGGAGGGAGGAGGCAGGAGAGGGGAGGGAGAAGGGAGGAGGGAGAGGAGGGACACGGGATAGGGCAGAGAGGCATAAGGATGAGGGAAGAGAGGAGAGAGAGAGAAGGGAGGAGAGGAGGGTGGAGGGAGGAGGGAGAGGGAGAAGGAGCAGGAAGATAAGAGCGTGAACGTTCGAGGAAGTCCTAAGCGAAAGCGCCGTTCGGAGCCCAAGACGGGCGGGCGATCCCCTGACGGGCGGGTCGGGCGGGTGGGACAGTTAAGCAGGATGCCTGAGTATGGCGAGAGCGCGATTCCTAAGTAAATTGTGACGGCGTCCTTGGCG